AGAACAGCAAAGCCATTAAGCAACTTTGAAAATAATTCAAATTCCATAGCACAAATTAATTTCTTTTCTAATGTTCTTTTGGTGGAAGGGGGAAAGGTATCAGGTAATATCATTCCTTTTGGGGCATAGGGTCCAAGAGATTGAATCTTTTCCTTTCTTTTTATTTATTTTTTTTAATCTTGGAGGGGCGGAAAACAGCTATTATTATAAAACAAATTACTAATCTCACCTGAGACCAGTGCTTAACCCTACCTAGGAACTGTAATACAGCATTTTTCAACTGGCCTCTATGGTGGGCCCAAAGGATATTTGAAGGGGCCATAGATAATACTGTGCAAGTGGGGTGGTGGGAGACTAGGGAAAACAACTAGTGAGATGGGGGAACAGGAAGAAAATAAAGTTGGGGGAAATTACTCATGGTGAGAATCATTGTTGAGTATTCAAAAGAAACAGTGACCAAAATACAGAAAGAGCCCACAGAATGGGAAAGAATATTTACCCAATACCCATCTGATAAGGGATTAATATCCAGGATATACAAGACACTAGTAGAATTGTACAAGAAAAAAACTTCCAACCCCATCAAAAAATGGGGAGAAGAAATGAACAGAAGTGCCCTCAAAAAAAGAAATACAAATGGCCAATAGGCACATTAAAAAATGTTCCACATCACTAGCCATTGGGGAGATCAAGTCAAAACAACAATGAGATATCATCTCACACCACAGAGACTGGCACACATTCAAAAGAACAAAAGCAACCAGTGCTGGCGTGGATGTGGGGAGAAAGGGACACTCTTTCACTGTTGGTGGAAATGCCCACTAGTCCAGCCTTTCTGGAAAACAATATGGACAGTCCTTCAAAAACTAGAAATTGAGCTTCCATATGACCCTGCAATAGCACTTCTGGCAATATATCCTGAGGATGCAAAAAAAGCACAGTAGAAATGACATCTGTACCTATATGTTCATTGCAGCACTGTTCACAATAGCCAAAATCTAGAAACAACCCAGGTGCCTTAGAATAGATGACTGCTTAAAGAAATTTTGGTACATCTACACAATGGAATACTATGCAGCTATCAGAAGAGATGAAGTCATGGACTGCTTATAAATGGGTAGACATGGAGAGTATCATGCTAAGTGAAATAAGTCAGAAAGAGAAGGACAGACATAGAAGGACTGCACTCATTTGTGGAGTATAAAACAACATAACATGAACATGAGGCTGACACTAAGGATAGTAGATACATGGGACAGATAGACTGCTCCATAGCTGGAAGACTGCTTCATGAGCAAAGGGGAGAAGGCAGCTGGAATAGAGAAGGGATCACTAAGAAAAAGATGGGAAAGTAGATAAAGGACCAAACATGATAACCTCTCAGTGTCTGTATTGCAAACCATAATGCCCAAAAGTAGAGAGAGATTATGGGGAATCATGTCTGCCATGGAGGCAGAGAGGAGAGTGGGAAGGGGGGGGTATACCAGGGATATTGGTGGTGGGGAATGTGCACTGGTGGAGGGATGGGTGTTTGATCATTGTGTGATTGTAACCCAAACATCAAAGCTTGTAACTATCTCACCGTGATTCAATAAAATTTAAAAAAAGAAAAGAAAAGAAACATTGCTGTGTAGTGAACACAAAAACAGTCTGGCCCTCATGAGATGAACTAGTTGGAGATTCCAGCTTGTGTGCACTCCACCCAAAGGAGGAATAAAGAATGCAGAGTCAGTCTGGACATATGTTAGGTGTAGTGGAGACATGGTGACAGCCTCATGAAGAGACTATTCAAATAATACTCTGAGGCAGGGATTTCTCTGTAAATTATCTGACCAGAGAAATGGAGATCAGGAAGTAGAAATGAACAGAGAAATGGACAGCATTTTTTCTACCTACTTCTTGATTCTTCAAAGCAATGTGGATAAGAACAAGAGGAAGTAAGTTGAAACTGTTGAAATTAGGCTGCAGTAGGTTCTCACACTAGTCATTCCATGTCCCCCTCCCCCCAGCAGCAAGGAGCAATGGCTTGTGGACAGTAAAGCACATAACCCATGGTGAATTTAAATTCACAAGCTGAAAGAAGAAGGTAGGAGAAATGGGAACTGGAAAGCAACAGCCTCTTGAACTGGGTTCAGTCAATCAAGAGGACCATGATGCATGGAATATGTCTTTCTGAGCATGAATCGGGTTTCGTGGTAAACTGTGATTGTGAATGAGGGAGGGCTACTGGGCTCATAGTGCCCTGCACAGTGCCTGGGGTTGAGTGCTCGGTCATCGATCTTGGGTCACACCCAGCAATGCACAGGGGTTACTCCTGGCTTATGCACTTAAGAATTACTCCTAAATTATTCCTGGAGGTGCTCGGGGGACCATATGGGAAGCTGGGAATCGAACCTAGGTTGGCTGTATGCAAGGCAAATGCCCTACCCACTGTACTATTGCTCCAGCCCCACGGTCATCGATCTTTTTCTACTGTTGAAACCTGTGGCACTTGAAGATAGGTCAATCCCAAGAAGTGAAGAATGTCACTTTTCATTCCTATGGCTCCCAGTCATTAATCTAACTTGAGGGCTGTGAAGGATTATGGAGGTAGGAATTTAAGAAGCAAGTGGAGGCATTGGAGAGACAGAACAAGTGAGTAGGACGCTTGCTTTGCATGTGGCCGACCCATGTGTTCGATCTCCAGCATCTCATATGTTCTCCATAGCATTGCCAGGAGTGATTCATGATTTCAGAGCCAGAAATAACCCCCAAGCATTGTCAATTGTATCCCAAATACTTAGAAAAGAAAGAAAAAATCAGGTGGAAATGCAAAAGTGGGGGAATAATACCACCAATAAATGGAGAGCTAAGATGTAGGTAAGAAGTATTTACTGATACATATTTCTTCTTTCCCCAGTGATTCTAGCAAAAGTGAAAAGTGAGCAAGAATAAAATCAGGGGAGAAAATCAGGAAAAAGAAAGACAATGAGGAAGAACTGGAAAGAAACTTGGAAATAAGTTCTACAGATTCTACAAATGGGCACTGATCATAGCCAAATGTCCAAGTATGGCTCTTGTGTGATTGATGGGAGATTTATTCCACCTTGGTGAAATAAATACAAAGCTAAGCATGTTCACTTATAGATCTTTAAAAGAACATTAAAACTTAAACTGGGGGCTGTGGTTGTAACTCAAGTGATGGAACATAATTCTTGTGTGTGAGGCTCTGGGTTTAATCCCTGGTACTATGTGACAATACTCATTTGGAGACTTTGAAGCTAAGTATTTAATGGTTATAAAGGAAAGCAAGATGACTGCATAATGGATATGTATGTCTTCCTGCATTCCTATTCTCATAAAGAAAAAAAATGAATGTAAAACCAGAAATATATTTAACTAAAATAGTTAATTTTTTTTTCGTTTTGGGTCACACCCGGTGATGTTCAGGGGTTACTCCTGGCTCTGCACTCAGGAATCACTCCTGGTGGTGCTTGGGGGACCATATGGGATGCTGGCAATTGAACCTGGGTCGGCCATGTGCAAGGCAAACACCCTACCCGCTGTGCTATTGCTCCAGCCCCTAAAATAGTTAATATTTTAGTGCTTATTCTGTGCCAATAAATGTTGAAATTGAGCTTCCATGTGACCCAGCAATTCCACCCCTGGGAATATAACCCAAGGGTCCAAAAACAATGCGAAAAGACATCAGAACTGCTATGTTCACTGCATCACTATTCACAATGGCCAAAATCTGGAAACAACCCAAGTGCCCGAGAACAGATGACTAGATAAAGAAACTATGGCACATCCACACAATGGAATATTACTTGATCATAAGAAAAGATGAAGGCATGCAATTTGCTGCTATGTGGATGGATCTGGAGATATGCTGAGTGAAGCTTGTCAGAGGGATAGACACAGACACAGGATGATGCCTCTCTTAAGTGGGTCAGAAACATAGTAAATGAATAACTAGTGTCCAAAAGCAACAGAAATAAAGAGCAGGAGAACTGATCCTTGGTAGGAAGCTTGCTACTGGGGTGGGAGTGGACTTGGGAGGTGTTAGGTCAGGGAAAGGACCACTATGACAATGATAGAGGGAAGGAGAACTGGGTGCTGAAAGGAGGTAAAGTGGTATGCAGAATGCCCTATCAGTAGCAGTTCTGTAAACCACTGAGCCCAACTGGAAAAAGAAATAAGTCCCTGCCATAAAGGCAGGCTGGGAGGTGGAGGGAAACTAAGAACATTGGTGGAGGAAAATGAATACTGGTGAAGTGATTGGTGTTGGAGCACCGTACACCTGAAACTCAATCACGAATGACTTGGTAATTCATGGTGATTCAATAAAAAATAATAATAACAAAAAGAAGGTAATGAAAGGTAAACAGATGCAGGAAGTGAAGTTTACTCAGCCACTGGTAATGCAAAGGAAGTAGATTCCTCAATAAAATTTGGGCCAGAGAGATAGTACAGGGGTTAAGATCTTGAATCCTGCCAATCCTGGTTTGAATCCCTGGAAACATATAGAGACATATGGTCACCTAAGCACCGCCAGGGGTTACTCCGAAGCACAGAGCCAGGAATAGCCCTTGATTATCTCCAGGTTTGCCCGAACGCTCCAATAAAAGAAAAATAAAAAAAGACTTCATATAACAACACATGCTGGGTAGAAACATGGGCCCAACAGTCTCTGGTAGCATGACATGGCACTGCATCAAGGGCTAGTGTGAAGGGTAATCTAGCCTACTTTATCCTATTTGTCTTCCCATAGGAACTGTACCCAAAAGAGATTAGATCTTTGCTGAAAACGTGACACCAAAATCTAAGATATCATTACTATAAAAATCATTTATATTGTGAAAAGAAAATTCAGGGGGCGAAGAAATCATGCTGGTTAATACTTAATGACACATGGTTTGTTCAAAGCAGATAAACCCACCCACATTAATGCACAGGCAATGCTAGGGATGGGTACACCAGGATAATTTCAGAATCCATCAGTTCTCTGAGACTGTCACCTGACTGGGTTTCTTTGACGGGGCAGGAACTGGAGTTGTCTCCTGCTGCATCATTTCTGTTTCTCCTCCTCCATTGTCTGATGCTTCTCCTTCACCATCTGGGGCTTCTGGGAGAAACAAGTTTACAAATCAGAAAAGTCCCTTCCTCTCCCACCTCACCCCTTTCCCTATCATTGCTAGCATAATCTTGGTATTGCCTTTCTGGAAGGTTTTATCCTTTGAATTAGTAATTTCACCTCTAGGAAGTTGAGTTTAAGGAAACCATCCAAAACGAAAACAGAGGTTTAAGCACCAAGATGAGTCAGTTTGCAAAGCTGCAAATTGAAGATTGCCCAGATAACTAACATTGGAGCATGTTTAATTATGGATCAGTCAGACAGATTTTACAGGTATTATATCATTTATTTTCAGATAAGAAAGCTGTTCAGAGGGGGGTGAAGCAATTTGCCAGAGGCCACACACCTGCCAACTCTGAGCTAACTGAACAAGGTCTGCCCTGGCCTGCTCTGAGAAGCAGTCAGTGTTGACAGCTGTGGGCCCCAGGGGAATGTTTAAGAGCTTGTGATAGGGATTATAGAAAAATTATCTTGAAGTTTAAAAATCTTTCACACTGAAAAAAAATATAAACTCTTTCTTTAAATATCACAAAACGCCAAATGTTTTACTTTTGGGGGTGGGGGTTCATTAAGCTCTTTTGAAGAAATTTGGCGATCAACCTTGGTCAGAATTCCCATTTAGCTCCAAACAAACCTAATTTTCACACCTTACATAAAAATTAAGTCAAAATGGATCACAAGCTTAAACGTAGAGTAAAACAATAAAACTTTGAGACAGGGGGAGAAAATATACAGGATCTAAGACTTAAAGAGTTCTTTTTTTTTATTTTTTATTTTTTGGGTCTCACCCAGTGATGCTCAGAGAGTATTCCTGGTTCTGCACTAAGGAATTACTACTGGTGGGGCTCAGGGGCACATACAGATGCCAGGGATTGAACCTGGGTGGGCCATATGCAAAGCAAATGCCCTATACACCCTACAATTGCTACGGCCCCAACAGTTCCTTAGTTTGTTAGCAAAATTATAACCAATATAATGAGAAACTGAGAAATTACACTTATTAAAAATGAAGATATGGGGCTGGAGAGATAGTGTGTGTGTATATATATATATAAATATATATATATATATTTATAGCAGGTAAGGCATTTGTCTTGCAAGCGACTGATCAAGGTCCAACTCCCCGTACCCCATATGGTTCCCCGAGCATTGCCAAGAGTGTTTCCTGAGTGCCAAGCCTGGAGCACTGCTCAGTATAGCCCCAAAACATAAAAAGAAAAACAAACAAACAAAAAAAACCCAACAAAGCAAAAACACAGTGGTTAGAGTGCTTGCTTTGTATGCAGCCAAACTGTGTTTGATCCCTGGCACCCCAAAAGGTTCCCTGAGCCTCCAATGAGTGATCCCTGAGCACAAAGTCAGGAGTAAGTTCTGAGCACCACTGGATGTGGTCAAAAACAAAATAAAACAAAACAAAAACAAAAAGCAAAAAGCAAATCACTTTCCTCACAGAGGACATGATAGGGCTGGAGCAATAGCACGGTGGGTAGGCCTTGCATGCAGCCGACCCAGGTTTGATTCCTAGGAAATCATATGGTCCTGTGAGCACTGCCAGGAGTAATTCCTGAGTGCATGAGCCAGGAGTAACACCTGTGCATTGCAAGGTGTGACCCCTCCCCGCCCCCAAAGAAAAAACAAAACAGAACAAAACAAAAAGGACATCATAATCAGTATATGAACTTTATAAATCACTTGTATCACTTGTCATCCCGTTGATCATTGATTTGCTCGAGCGGGCACAACACTATACAATATTCTCAAAATTCAACACTGAAAAAACAGGAACATGCAAAATATGAAAATATTTTCTGCAGCATTAGAGCATTAGTTACTACAGAAATGTAGATTAAAACTGCATAATCTGGGGCTGGAGTGATAGTACAGCGTTTAGAGTGTTTGCATTGCACACGGCCGACCCTGTTCGATTCCCAGCATCCCATAAGGTTGCCTGAATACTGTAATTCCTAAGTGCAGAGCCAGGAGTAATCCCTGAGCAATGCCAGGTGTGACCCAAAAAAGCAAAAACAAAACAAAACAAAAACAACAACAATTAAAAAAAAAAAACCTCAACACACCTACATAAGCTATCACTAAGTGTCTCAATGGTTAACATGAAAAAACAGCACCAACCCCAAATGCTGGCAAGGATTCTGAAAAGAACAAAACAGGTAATCCCAGATATGCCATTTTTGGCAGATTAACTTATTTTGATTAATTTATTTTGATTGAAATTACTTAATTTGAATTGAACTGAAATTACAGGTGTAAGGGCATTCTAATATTCCTTTGTTTGCTTAAAAGAGGGAAATAAATCTCCCATGTGAAAGGTAGCCTTCAGGAACTGAGAAAAAGAATTTATTAGTAGGATAGGAAATTCAGGGCTTGGACGGCTATATAAACAAAGCTTTCCCACTAATTTTTCACCAAGCAAAACCTGTTTCTTTTGACAATTTCTCATAAATGTATTGTTTGTCTAACAGGAATGAAAGCTGCCTGCTTTTGTCACTTCTTTTTGTTGCATACTATCTTTGAGATCCAATATCTATAAGTGAAATTTTTTTCTTCTTAATGATTATGCTAACTTAATTATTGGATGATCCGAAGAACTATAAGGAAAGAAGAAACAACTTGGTGATTCAAATTCCACATCTGAACCATCCCATAATTGTTTTTAAACTTCCTTATTTATGTATGTCGCATAATCACTCAAGATCCATCCAGTGTGCCCCAAAGGGCATAGTTTCATCTTTTAAAACAACGGAGTGGCATTCCATTGAGTATTCACACCATAGTTTCTTTGTCCAACCATGTGCTGACAATTTAGACTGACCATGTTTTTTTTCTAGGTTCAGCTGTATGATTTTTAAAAATTTATTTGTTTATTCTTATATTTATTCTTATATTTATTTATTCTTATATTTATTCTTATATTTATTTATTGAATCACTGTGGGAAAAGTTATAAAGCTTTCAGGTTTAAGTCTTGGTCATACAATAATCAAACACCTTTCCCTTCACCTTTCCCTTCACTCATTTTTTACCACCAAGAACCCCAATATACCTCCCTCCCACCCCTCCCAATGCCTGTGAGGCAGATGATTTCTACTTAACTCTTCTATACATTGATTACATTTGTTATTTCGACAAAAGATACACCATTATTGTTTAGAATTTCCCCACCAACAATCAGAATTGCTGAAAAGGCATTGTGAAATACCTTGTTTTCTATAGCTGGTTATGAGAATCATATAATGATTTTGGATTTCTGCAGAGAGCCAGATAATTACAAGATTGGTTTCTGTGCTTCTGGTGTTATGGCTGTGCCGGAGAGCCACTGGTGGGGGGCAACTCGTGACCTCGGTAGGGCATGAAGGACGAGCCGGTACCGCACCCCCTTCCCATGAGACTGTAGTTGCCCTGTCACCACCGGCTCATACCTGGCTTTCCAATAAGCTCTGAGACGGGGGCCACCTTGCCTTGTAATACCCCTTCCCTCCTGGGGAGGCATGGCGCCGTAGTTTAACGCATGGTCCATTCACTTTTCTGCCACAAGCTGCGGGCTCTGGACTAAGTCCTTTTGCCTCTGGAGCCATGGCTGTGCTGGAGAACCACTCGTGGGGGCAACTCGTGACCTCGGTAGGGCGTGAAGGACGAGCCGGTACCATCCCCCTTCCCATGAGACTGCAGTTGCCCTGTCACCGCCGGCTCATACCTGGCTTTCCAATAAGCTCTGAGGCAGGGGTCACCTTACTGCCTAAATTTATTTATTTATTTTTATTAATGAAACACCATGAGGTACAGTTGTAAATTTACAAACTTTCATGCTTGGGTTTCAGTTATACAATGATTGAGTACCCAACCCTCCACTAGTGCTCATTCTCCACTACCAATGATTCCCAGTAGCCCTCCCCCCCCCCCCCCCCCCGCCCTTCCTTTGTGGCAGGGCATTCCCTTTTCTTCTCTGTATCCTTTAGGCTGTTGTGGTTTGCAATAGAGCTATTGACATCGTGTTTGGTCTATAGTCTACTTTCAGCACGCATCTCGCATCTGGAGCAAATCCTCTAAACATCCTTTACTTGGTGTTCCCTTCTCTATCTGAGCTGCCTTGTCCCCCAGCATTTGCTGCAGGCTTCCAAGCAATGGAGCAGACCTCCTGGTATTTATTTCAATTATTCTTGGGTGTTCGTCTCCCATTCTGTTACTTTATATTCCCCAGATGAGTGTAGTCTTCCTATGTCTGTCCCTCTCTTTCTGGCTCATTTCACTTAGCATGATACTTTACATGTAGAACCACTTGTATGTAAATTTCATGACTTCATCTTTTCTAACAGCTACATAGTATTCCATTGTGTAGATGTACCAAAGTTTCTTTGACCAGTCATCTGTTTTCGGGCACTCGGGTTTTTTCCAAATTTTGGCTATTGTGAACAGTGTAGCAATGAACATACAAGAGTAGATATCATTTCAACTGTACTTTTTTGCCTCTCTGGGATATATTCCTAGGAGTGGTATTGGTAGGTCAAATGGGAGCTCAATTTCTAATTTTTTGAGAATCGTCCATACTGTTTTCCAAAAGGGCTGAACCAGTCGGCATTCCCACCAGCAGTGAAGGAGGGTCCCTTTCTCGCCACATCCGCGGCAGCACCGGTTGCTTTTGTTCTTGTGGATGTGGGCCAGTCTCTGTGGTGTGAAATGATATCTCATTGTGGTTTTGATCTGCATCTCCCTGATGATTAATGATGTGGAGCATTTTCTCATGTGCCTTTTAGCCATTCAAATTTCTTCTTTAAGAAAGTTTCTGTTCATTTTGTCACCCCATTTTTTCATGGGATTGGATGTTTTCTTTTTGTGGAGTTCAACCAGTGCTTTGTATATCCTTGATATCAACCCCTTATCGGATGGGTATTGGGTGAATATCCTTTCCCATTCTGTAGACTGTCTTTGTATTTTAGTCACTCTTTATTTTGAGGTGCAGAAGTTTTTGTTTTCACT